GGCGGTAGAAATTTACCGCTGAAATGTATGAACGAGTTACCGATGGATAAAATGCCCCGCTGGCCACGTCAAACCCTTCACCTTTAGCACGAAACGATACTCCCTGACACTACACCGTGCCTCCCCACACTGATATTTATTATCATAACTACTATAACTGTTATCAAGTACCTGTCGAGGAAGATCATTGATGAGGAACTGTGCCAACTTCTTCAGTTTTTCATTCGAGAGTTCATTTATGGAGTCCCAAATAGTGACGCGATACTCGACCTCACTGTCTCTCTTTATTCTGTACAAACAAACGGCGACTACATGCTGGCACCAAGATGCCTTAAAAGCGCACGAACAACTGCACGACACTATGCGACACCTGAAACAAGCTTAATTCAATAACAGAGGCGCACGAGCAGAAGCTATCGCTGGCTCATACAACATTCAGGGAGAAAAAGCTTGCTAAAGTGATGCATTAACTTCCGGCAGAAAATCTTTGGGAGCAAACCTGTCCACTCGGACGGATACGTTGTATGTCATCTTTGAGCGACACAGCGGAGCCGAAGGATTCGTAGAAGTGACCAGAGGAGGAACACTTGCGGCGCTAACCACGGCAGAAATATGATAGCCTGTAAAATCTCACTTTATTCACTCCGAAATCATTTAAGTCTTCACAATTTTTATGGTCTTAAGCTTTGGTTTAAAGTATCTTGTTGGTTTTGGATTTTGCAAATCGAGTGTTTTATGACTATCTGTTAGCAGATGTCGTAAGCCGACTGTGATCTCTTTACACTTCCCGGGCTCCGACCCATCAGAAATATTCATGGAAGACATACCTATCTGAAAAACATCACGGACAGCGTTGGCTTGATACAGATACTCGCCTTTTTCAAACTCATCCGCGTTCCCATTCGCCAAGCAGCTGAAAATTCTCAGTGGAGGATCGGGCAAGCGACATCGAGCGAGACGCGCTACTAATCGAGACGCGCTACTAATCGAGAATAAAGTGCTTTTTCTGCAACCATATGCTATAACACAAACTTCGGAAGCTGAAGAAGAGACGCACCAAAGAGGGGTATAGCGCTGCTGCGGAAAGCAAGTCAAGTCTCCCATGACTGAAAAAGATGTCCCCTAAAATCCAGTTCGCATTAGTCTGATAATTAAAAAAGGCGGGAGCGAAGACTAACCCCAAGAGATAATTCCAGAACGTCTCGGGAGCGATCAGACGGGGAGTAAAAGTACTCACACAAAACTTTTCGTACAGAATAATGACTTTTTGCAGTCTTCAGATACAAGCGAATTTGGTACTCTTAAATTTCTAAGGCGCCTCATCTTCATTCAATAGTGACAATGTTCGGACACGGTGGCGGTGATCAACACATATCAACAATAACTCTCGAAACGGCTAAAGTCTTGCCAAGCTTTTTTAACAGGGAATTGCTGAGCCAATAATCCGTTCAGGAGACGAAATGTGTGTCAAATGGCGGTAGTAGGCAAGCTACAAACGATGCAGAATTTGGTAATACAAATGAGATACTGCCAGCTGTAGAGGTGCAGAATCAGACAATGAATTACAGCTGATTCAAATAAACTACCCAACATTTCCACAAATAAAAGCAATTAATGATATAACGTTTTGGTGTAATAGATAAAAACACCGAAAGGGTACTAATTTTATTAGCCAAGCAGATTTATCATGCGCCCCCTGAGAAGAACAGGAGCCATTCGCTCCCTGTGACACCTGTGCTTCTTGGTTCATGTTAAGGCATTATATTCGAAGAGCATAGAAAACGTAGCAGATGAACGCATACTGGAAAGCATGAATGTGAGCTGGGCTAGGCCTTCCTTCAACCCGGCTCAGTAGACAATACGTGGAGGCTCACTACAATATTAAGGCCAGCAGCAAACCCAAAAACACTTGATTTTTTTTGCGCAAAAGAAGCGGAAGTTC